TGACTGCAGACGCTGCTCCCTCTTTACCACAACGGTCCGATACAGCGACCGCATCACTGCTCACGCTGCACCGATCCGCCTGTCAATCTCACGCTCCATTCTTCCCTCACTCGTGAACAAGACCCCGAGATACTTGAACTCCTCCACTTGAGGAAGGACCTCTCCACCCACCTGAAGAGGGCAAGGCACCTTTTTCCGGTCGAGCACCATGGCCTCAGATTTGGAGGTGCTGATTCTCATCCCAGCCGCTTCACACTCGGCTGCAAACCGTCCCAGTGCATGTTGTAGGTCCTGGTTTGTTGGAGATAAACAGGACGACATCGTCCGCAAACAGCAGAGATGAAATCCTGTGGTCTCCGAACCGGACCCCCTCCGGCCCCTGGCTGCGCCTATAAATTCTGTCCATGAACACAGTGAACAGAACCGGTGACAAAGGGCAGCCCTGTCGGAGGCCAACATTCACCGGGAACAGGTCTGACTTACTGGCGGCAATGCGAACACAGGTCTGGCTCCGGTCATACAGGGACCGGACGGCCCTCAGCAGAGGACCCCAACCCCGTACTCCCGGAGAACCCCCCAAAGTACACCCCGGAGAACACGGTCGAACGCCTTCTCCAAATCCACAAAGCACATGTGGACAGGTTGGGAGAACTCCCATGAACCCTCAAGTATCCGATGGAGAGTATAGAGCTGGTCCAGTGTTCCACAACCGGGACGAAAACCACACTGCTCCTCCTGAATCCGAGATTCAACCATCGGCCGTAGCCTCATCTCCAGTACCTTGGAGTAAATCTTACCAGGGAGGCTGAGGAGTGTGATCCCACGATAATTGGAACACACCCTCCGGTCCCCCTTCTTGTAGAGAGGGACCACCACCCCGGTCTGCCACTCCATTGGCACCGCCCCCAATCGCCACGCGATTGCAGAGACGTGTCAGCCAAGACAGTCCTACAACATCCAGAGATTTTAGATAGTCAGGACGGATCTCATCCACTCCCGGCGCCTTGCCACCATGGAGGCTGCCAACCACCTTGGTGACCTCTGCCAGGGAGATGGAAGTATCCGCCCCAACATCCTCAGCCTCTGCCTCCAGGGCGGAGGGCATGACGGGGGGATTGAGGAAAACCTCGAAGTATTCCTTCCACCGCCCGACAATATCCCCAGTTGAGGTCAACAGCTCTCCACCCGCACCGTACACAGTGTTGGCAAAGAACTGCTTCACCCTCCTGAGGCGCCGGACGGTTTGCCAGAATCTCTTCGAGGCCGACCGATAGTCATGCTCCATGGACTCTCCGAACTCCTCCCAGTCCCGGGTTTTTGCCTCTGCAACAGCCCGGGCCGCAGCGCGCTTGGCCTGCCGATACTGGACAGCTGCCTCAGGAGTCCCACGAACCATCATTGCTTGATAGGACTCCTTCTTCAGCCTGAGGGCATCCCTTACTGCCGGTGTCCACCACCGGGTTCGGGGATTGCCGCCGGGACCAGCACCAGAGACCCTGCGACCACAGCTATGAGCCGCCGCATCGGCGATAGAGGAAGAGAACATGGTCCACACGGACTCAATGTCCCCCTCCTCCGCCGGGACCTGGGAAAAGCTCTCCCGGAGGTGTGAGTTGAAAGTCCGTCTAACAGGGGGCTCAACGAGACGTTCCCAGCAAACCCTCACTACACGCTTGGGCCTGCCAGGTCTGACCGGCTTCTTCCCCTGCCAGCGGATCCAACTCACGACCAGGTGGTGATCGGTTGACAGCTCCGCCCCTCTCTTCACCCGAGTGTCCGAGACACGCGGTCGAAGGTCAGATGATACGACAACAAAGTCGATCATCGACCTCCGGCCTAGGGTGTCCTGGTACCACGTGCACTGGTGGACACCCTTGTGCTCGAACATGGTGTTCGTGATGGACAAACCGTGACTGGCACAGAAGTCCAACAACTGAACACCGCTCGGATTCAGACCGGACGGGCTGTTCTTCCCAATCACCCCTCTCCAAGTGTCACTGGCATTTCCCACATGGGCGTTTAAGTCCCCCAGGAGAATAACAGAGTCCCCGGGCGGTGCACCGTCCAGTACCCCTCCCAAGGACTCCAAGAAGGCTGGGTACTCTGCACTGCTGTTAGGCTCGTAGGCCGTCACAACAGTGAGAGACTTGTCCCCCACCCGAAGGCGGAGGGACGCGACCCTCTCATTCACCGGGGAGAACTCCAACACGTGGCGGCTGAGATGGGGGGCATTGAGAATGGCCACCCCAGCTCGCCGTCTCTCCCCGCGAGAAACACCAGAAAAGTGGAGCGTCCAACCCCTCTCAAGGAGTTGGGTTCCAGAGCCCAAGCTGTGTGTGGAGGTGAGGCCAACTATCTCTAGTCGGTATCGCTCGACCTCCCCCACGAGCTCGGGCTCCTTCCCCCCCAGTGAGGTGACGTTCCACGTCCCAAGAGCCAGATGTTGGGTGTGTGGACTGGGTCGCCGAGGTCTCCGCCTTCGACTGCTGCCCAGTCCTCTCTGCACCGCGCCACCACGGACCCCTCTGCAGGTGGTGGGCCCACAGGAGGAACTGCCCACGTCGTCCCTTCGGGCTGAGCCCAGCCGGGCCCCGTGGGCTAAGGCCCGGCCACCAGGCACTTGCATTCGAGCCCCGACCCCAGGTCTGGCTCCAGGGTGGGGTCCCGGCTGCGCCATGCCGGGCGACGTCACGGTTCGTGTTCGTGCTGTCCATTTTGGCTTCTGACTGCTCTTCGTCTGACTCGTCACCCGAGACCTGTCTGCCATGGGAGACCCTACCAGGGGCATGAAGCCCCAGACAGCATAGCTCCCAGGATCACCTGAGTACTCAAACTCCCCCACCACGTTAAGGTGGCAGTCCAGGGGGAGGAGGTGAAGGACTTTATAAAACCAATGCATTATTATTGATAAATGGATGTTTATTCTAGTGCAGTTACATTGACTGTAGTGTAGAGTAACAGTGAGTGTTTGGAATAGTGGTGACGATGAATATGATGACGGAGGTGATGAAGGAGGTGATTAAAGGGGAGATGGAGATGAAGGAGGAGCTGACGATGGACTCAATGATGGCCGTGTAGAACTGCACCAACATCTGTGTAACTTGGCTTTCCTGAGCTGCAGCAGGAAGTATGTCCTCTTCTGGTTCTTCTGGATGAGGAGCTGATGTCGGCTCTCACTTGAGGTCCTGGGAGATGGTTGTACCCAGGAACAGCTCTACTGTCTTCCGGGCGTTCAGCTCAAGGTTGTTACCACTGCACCAGGACACCAGCCGGTCCACCTCCTCCTGTAGGAGACACCAGGACACCAGCCGGTCCACCTCCTCCTGTAGGCGGACTCATCGTTGTTGGAGATGAGTCCAATGAGGGTGGTGTCGTCCACAGACTTGATGAGCTTCACAGAGTCGGAAGTGCAGTGGTTGGTGTACAGGGAGAAGAGGAGGGGAGAAAGAACACAGCCCTGTGGAGCTCCTGTGTTTGTAATCCGAGTCTCTGAGACATTCTTCCCCAGATGCACACACTGCTTCCTGTTCATCATGAAGTCAGTGATCCACCTGCAGCTGGAGTCGGGCACGTTGAGCTGGGAGAGCTTGTCCTGGAGCAGGGATGGCAAGAACTGAAGTCCACGAACAGGACCCTGGAGTAGGTTCATGGAGTCCAGAGCTACAGGATTTATGGTGTCGTCTACAGATCTGTTGAGAACTGCAGGAGGTCGAGGAGGAGGAGGTGAACTGCAGGGGGTCCAGGAGGAGAAGGTGAACTGCAGGAGGTCCAGGAGGAGGAGGTGAAGGACTTGAGGTGGGAGAGGACCAGGCACTAAAATGACTTCATGACTACAGATGTTAGTGCCACAGATCTGTAGTCTTTAAGTCCAGTGATCTTGGTCTTCTTGGGGACAGGGACAATGATGGAGGACTTGAAGCAGACCGGGATGTGGCAGGACTTCAGAGAGGGGTTAACAATGTCTCAAGAAGAGTTGTTTGACCGCCTTCTGAGCAATCGTCGTCGAGTAGGGGGAAGAGATTCTGAGGAGGTGATGGATGAGGAATCAGCAACAGACGAACGAAAGGGATTACAGTCATAATCCTGAACAAGACTTCACCAGAGTAAATACAGACGCTTTGGCACCAGATATCAACTACTGCTGATCCGCAAAACCATAAAGACCAGGTTAGAGCTTGAAGAAAATGACAAATGTCTGGGATCCTGTCTTTAATTCAGAAATAAATCATGTTTTTTGTCGATGGTAGAGACAGGAACGAAGAAAGACGTTACAGAATGATATTATATATGATATTATATTATACAGGATGGAGGAATGGAGACCGTCCAATCAGCAGCTGCCAACGTGCCGGTAGCTCGGCCTTCAGAAAACCAAAACATGAAGTGGAAAAATACTGACTTGTGCATATTGTTAGAATGATAAGTTTAACTTTCACCAAGACATCTCTAAATGTGTGACCATCAGGATCGAGAAAACAGCAACATAACATCATACTTATAAAACTCATGAACTCCATCCATCCATCCATTTTCTACCCTTTAATCCATTTCTGGGTCAGGGGGGTGGCAGTCAGAGATGCCACCAAGTCTCATAGCACCAGCCCCTCACTGACCCTCTGCAGGTGGTGAGTCCACAGGAGCTCACAGTCCACTCATGAACTCAATACTTCATAAACTCAGATGTTCCGCTCTTTCAGAGTGTGACACAAACTATTACTCAGCCACCGTGCCGCGGTGGCTGAGTGGCTGCTGCGGTTTATAATGTGTTATAAATCTCACACAAAAAGGTAAAGTACAAAACATTTTATTTCAACACAAAAACACACAAGTATAGACTGGTATTTTAAATAGTACCATATTTTAGTTCCTGTTGGTGATTACTTCAAAGTGACAGTTTTAAACAATGTTGAGATTTAGAATTCTGTACATAATAAAGAGTCTTATACTAAAACAGACAAAAACACAATCTGTCCTTAAATGAAAAACCTGAAGGTAAAGTCTCACATGGAGAACAGCAGGTGACCACTGAAAGTGCTGTGGTGATATTCATTATCAAAGATTCTTGTATTTTGCCAAAGACGCAGAAACACAACATCTCCAGGCTCCAGCAGCAGTGTGGCTCCGTTAGATGATTTTCCAAAACCATTTGTCTGATGTTCATAAGCAATAAAAATATGTTCTCCATTCTTTGTTAGTCCTGCTGCAGAAGCATATGAAGAACCATTAGCCCCGATGTAGAACTCAAAGTGATAGGCCCCTCGCACCGGTGCAATGAAGAATCCTGAAGGAGATAGAGACAATTATAGTGTTAGTAACAAACACAGACAGTTTCATGGAAAAGATTTTACCTCCGTCTGATATTTATCTGTTTTTATTTTTCTAATCATGAGGTAAATGTTTGTGAAAATACAGTTCCCATGTGAAAAAATTAACGGATGAAAAATGAACCCATGGTTGCAGCTTTATCCCCAAATGAAATTAATTCTAATCATTATGAAATAAAATCTATTGAACCAGAAAGTCCCACTGAGATTTCAGAATGTCTTTGTCAGAGGAATCATGGCCCCAGAGTCTACTCTGCTACATAGACACGGGGAGAACATGCAAACTCCAATGGAGCCCAGGACCTTCGTACTGAAAGGTGAGAGTGCTAACCACTCGTGTAGTATGACATTTGTTTTTAAATCTAATCAAACATGGTTCCAACGCAAAAGTGCTCTTGGCTGAAGTCTGGACTCTCCAAACCCAGCGTATGATTCCAGAACAGTTCAAAAACACATTTATGTTTTGGAGGGAAAGTCTTTGTTCTGTCAGATCTGTGAAACATGTGAGTCACCTGTGTTTGGGTTGTAGGCATTCCCGATGTTTGAGACCACATATTTGAACACCAGATTAGTCTGAGTGTTAAATGGTCCGAGGGTTCCATGTCCTGAGGCCAATAAAGAGGCGGAGAAAGCCACTTGTCCAACTGGAAATGAGACACATTTGCAAAATCAGCGACTGAATAAAACAAAGGTGTATGTTTGATTTCTCACAAGGACTGCTGAACATAATGAAACAATGCTGTAGAGCCCAACTTACTTAAATGACCCTCAGACAATCAAAACTCTGAATCTTGAAAGCCTTAGTTCTGTTGGACCTCCTCGTGTATGAATGTCAGAGTGAATTATCAGCTCCAGTCTCACCTTCTCTCTCTCTTTTAAGTGACGCCACTTGGTTTTCAGTCTCGTTGGTGCGAGCCTTCACACTGTTCAGCTCAGTGGCCTGGCCTAAGATGGACACAAGACACACGACTGTCAGCCTCAGAACTCTGCTCAGGAAAAAGTAAGAACAAAACAAAGTACCTCTGAGTTGTTCACTGGTCTGCTTCTGGAGCTCCTTTAGCTGCTCACTGGTCTGCTTCTGGAGCTCTGTCAGTTTGGCTTCTTGAACTGGAACAGTCCCAAACATACACGTTAGAAGCACAGATGCAAACATAGATTACCTTCTGAGTCATGAGCAGTGGTGGATAGAAGTGTTGAGTCTGACCTTGGTTGTGAGCCTGCAGCTGCTGGATCCTGACTCTCTGTTCGGCCAACGCGGCGCTCATCTCTCGCAGCACAGCGTGGAGGTCTGATGGACAGGGCTGAGGCTGCTCTGAGGCCTTCACACTCTCAGGACTGGACTGTCTTTGAGCACTGATCTCATTGTGCACAAGTTCAGCTCCTGACAGAGAGCAGAGCAGCAGTGCACACCACACACTCACACTTTCCATTGTGTCGACAACTATGAGTCCAGACCAGCTCCTCACGCTTTTATAGGAACAGATCCACCTCTATGACTTAGCAGGACTCGTGTAGACCTCTGCTTTATCTCTCACGTGCACACGCCTTGATAAGAGTCGTTGGAAAACCCCTGAGTAAGATAATCTGGTTTCAAAACATGATATGACCCCAATCCTCAGTGACAGCCTCTACATCTGTGAGTCTGTGTCCCAGCACAGGTGGATGTATGTCCTCCCACTTTATGAAGGTCCAAAAGACTGAGACAAACTTACAACAGTTATTTTAATCAGACAAACCTGAGTTGTTTGAGAGCTAGACTTCCTTCTTCCTCAGAGAAGACTCATGATGGTGTGACGTGTCTGATCAGCTGTTGTTACTGGATGCAGACGGACAGATCTAACAGGTCCTTCAGACTGACCCGGCCCCTCTGGTCTGCAGTGAAATGAGTCCCAAGTGTGAGTTGAGGTGAAGGCCCCTCGCCTCTGTTGAGGGTCTGTACTTCCTAATCTTGCCTCTTGTATCCATCTCTGTGTTTATGTTCTTCTGTTCCTATTCATTTAGCATTGTCCATTATATTTTCATTTTCTGATCAGAGAGATTCAGTCTGGAGAGACTAGACAGAAACAGGAGATATATTTAATAGATTTGTTTTCATTCAGCACCAAGCCCCGGCAGAGACACTTGATCAGGGCAGATGTGAAAGACGTTGGAATGAACTGAAGATAACTGTTGCTGTAAATGTTTATCTTATGTTTGTGAATAAACTGAGGAGATAAGAAGTTGTTTTCGTGACTTTCTTCCTCATTGCTGCGTTTGCAATCAGCAAAGTAATAAAACATGTCTTTGAAGCCACTTTTCTTTTGGCAAAGAAACAACAGCAAAAGCACATGCAGACCTTGAAACAATAAGTTCAAACAGAGACAAGTGTTTTATGATGAACTAATGATTCATAATCTCACATTTGTCCAAATCAAACTAAAGACGAGCCGCTGCAGTTCACTGTCGCAGAAACACAAGAGTTCATTTTCAAAACACATTTCTCCGTTTTAAAGAAGTGTCAAAAACATTTGTTCTTTTGCTGCAGTTGTTTTGTTTTTGGCAGAAAATCTGACTTTGTTTATGAAACTAAAATAGATCTGACTTTAAAGAAAACTATTTTGGTAAAGTACCAAAGTACAGATAGTTCCATATGAACTCGGATGCAGTGAAAATCTGGAACAGTCTTCCTGAAAATGTGAGACAGGCTTCTTCTTCTCTGACAATGTTCAAATCCAGGTTAAAAACGGTTCTGATTTTATCTTTAGTCTTGGTTCCATGGCTCCTAGTTTCATGATAAGACTCTGGATTCTGGGTGACATGTGATTCAGGCTCTTCTTAATTATAGACACAAGTGGACGGTGGTCCGTCTCAGGTGAAGGTAGGAAGGCCATGCACATAACAATGAAACTGTTCAAGTCCATGAGCCCAAGACATTCCTTCTCCATCTGAGCTTCATCTGTGTTTCTGTCATGGATCTGGAAGCATCAGCTGTGGGTCTCCAGCTCTCACCGTCTGGAGCAAGACAGCACCAAGTAGTAGTTAGAGAAGCACAGACGCTGTAGTTAGAGAAGCACAGACGCAGTAGTTAGAGAAGCACAGACGCAGTAGTTAGAGAAGCACAGACGCAGTAGTTAGAGAAGCACAGACGCAGTAGTTAGAGAAGCACAGACGCAGTAGTTAGAGAAGCACAGACGCAGTAGTTAGAGAAGCACAGACGCAGTAGTTAGAGAAGCACAGACGCAGTAGTTAGAGAAGCACAGACGCAGTAGTTAGAGAAGCACAGACGCAGTAGTTAGAGAAGCACGGACTCAGTAGTTAGAGAAGCACAGACGCAGTAGTTAGAGAAGCACAGACGCAGTAGTTAGAGAAGCACAGACGCAGTAGTTAGAGAAGCACAGACGCAGTAGTTAGAGAAGCACAGACGCAGTAGTTAGAGAAGCACGGACTCAGTAGTTAGAGAAGCACAGACGCAGTAGTTAGAGAAGCACAGACGCAGTAGTTAGAGAAGCACAGACGCAGTAGTTAGAAAAGCACAGACGCAGCAGGTGTTCGTTCCAACTGTCCAACAAAGTAAAAATCAACGAGAAGTGGAATTCGAACCCCCGGTCATCCTGGTACAGAACTTGTATGAACAGGATTTCCTTCATGATCGTCGTGGTTAAGAAGCTTTATGGTGTTTTTGGTGTGAGTGAGGAGGGAGCAGAGTCTGTTTTTTCCTGTATTTATTTTCAATATTGTGATCAGTTCAAACTTAATCAAAGGACTCTCAGAATTTACCAGAAAGAGAATCCAAAGTGTTCTAATCCGACTCTGTCTGATGTGTTTATCAAGTCCCTGCGAGGGCGAGTGGATAAAGAGACCAGAGACCAGAGAGAGACCAGAGAGAGACCAGAGGGACAACAGAGAGAGACCAGAGAGAGACCAGAGAGAGACCAGAGAGGGACCAGAGGGACACCAGAGAGAGACCAGAGGGAGACCAGAGGGAGACCAGAGAGAGAACAGAGAGAGAGACCAGAGAGAGAGACCAGAGAGTGACCAGAGAGACACCAGACAGAGACCAGAGAGAGACCAGAGAGAGACCAGAGAGACACCAGACAGAGACCAGAGAGAGCTGCTGGTAAATCAGTCCAAGCGTGTTTTAAAGTCGTACATTACTCAGTCGTTCCAAAGACAACATCTGAATGCAGCAGAGAAGAAGGAGTTGGACTCTCCACCTCAGAAGCTACAGGTACAAACAGCCTGATGCCCTGATCCAGTCCAACCTGCTGCTTACAATCTATATTTCCAGGCTGAGAGTCTTTCCCCAAAGCCACATGGTCAGAGAGACGGCTCTCTGATGATGTGGCTTTGAAACTTCCTTAAATGTTCAGCTTCAAACAGTCTGAGAGACCAGAGAGACCAGAGAGAGACCAGAGAGAGAGACCAGAGAGAGACCAGAGAGAGACCAGAGAGGGACCAGAGGGATAGATCAGCCATGTCTCATACTTTTACCAAAATCCCTCTGTTCCCTTTAGTCAGACTTGAGGTTTGAAGTAGCAGCTACAGTGTCTGACCTGTGCTGCTGAGAATGTGTCTTTCTCTTACTGCCCAAACCTCTTCATCAGCGCTGCAACGTTCTTCCCCTTCACCTGGTTCCTCTTCAGCTCAGACACCTGCTGCTGCTTGTCCTGCTCAGGTTTACCCTCAAATAACTGTGTCAGATTTTTCACATTTCTCTTTGTGCAATCATCCTTCTAACTCTGAGGTCTGGGCCCGTCTGCACTCGTCTGCGGTTCCTCCAAAAAGGTCCTTATTGTTTGGACATTGGACGTAGAGTTCTCTCTCACGTCTTGTAAATCTATTAGCGTCTCTGTGCTAGCTACAGTTTGACACATACACGGCTTCTCCTGGAGGTCCTTCTCGCTAATTTGTTGCTCCAACTGTTTGCGAACTTCGTCCTGCTCCTTAAACATCTTCTTGAAAACTCTTAACCCCTCGAGGTACTCCTCAAGCACCTTCTTCTGTGACAGTTTTAGTCCTACCAACTTCTCACAAGCCTCCTGAAGTTCAGCCTCATGTTTCCGTGAGGTTTCTTTGGCTTGTTCCAACTCTCTCCCCAGACTTTGGTTCTGTCGGACAGACCAAGAATACTCCTCTTTGATCTGCTCAAACTCCTGGAGTTGGCGTTCTAGCATCTCAATCTTCTTGCATTGATTTGCAGTCTCATTAATCTCACAAGCCTCTTTACGTTCTGGTTCATGTTTACATGAGATTTCTTTGGTTCGTTCCAACTCTTTCTCCAGACTCTGATTCTGTTTAACAGACCAAGAAAACTCCTCTTTCAACGCTTCAAACTCCTGGAGCTGATGTTCTAGAATCTCAATCCTCTTGTTTTGGATCGAATTCTCCTTCATCTGTTCCTCCAGAGTTTTGCAAACGGAGACCTGCTCTTCCAAACACTGATTTACCATTTTCAGCTCCTCCTGGTGCTCCTTAAACTCTCTCTCCAGACTTTGATTCTGACTAACGGACCAAGAGTACTTCTCTTTCAGCTCTTCAAAGTCCTGGAGTTGGCAATCGAGTGTCTCAATCTTCTCTCTTTGAATCGCATTCTCACTTTTCTGTTTCTCTAGACTTTTGCAAACAGAGACCTGCTGTTCCAAACACTGATTTACACTTTTCAGCTCCTCAAAGTGCTCCGTACATACTTTCTCATGTAAAAGTTGCAGCTCTCTCAGTGTCTCACAGGCCTCCTGACGCTCGGACTCATGTCTACGAGAGTTGTTGTTGGCTTGTTCCAGATCTTTCTCCAGACTGTGATTCAAACTTTGCAGCTGCATCAGTTTTGCACAAACCTCCTGATGCTCTGTCTCCTTCTTCGCTAACTTTTCTCTTGCTAGCTCCAACTCTGCCTTTAACTCTGCCTCTTTGACATGTAGGTCTTTGTGGTCCTCAGTCTGTGTCTGACCCTCGCAGGTGGACCAGGTCTCAGTCTGTGTCTGACCCTCGCAGGTGGACCAGGTCTCAGTCTGTGTCTGACCCTCGCAGGTGGACCAGGTCTCAGTCTGTGTCTGACCCTCGCAGGTGGACCAGGTCTCAGTCTGTGTCTGACCTTCGCAGGTGGACCAGGTCTCAGTCTGTGTCCCGCAGGTGGACCAGGTCTCAGTCTGTGTTCCGCAGGTGGACCAGCTCTCAGTCTGTGTCCCGCAGGTGGACCAGGTCTCAGTCTGTGTCTCGCAGGTGGACCAGGTGGACTGTGGGAGGTCCGCCTCGCTCTGAGATTTGCCACAAAGCCACGGAGTCTCAGATCTCTGCTCAAACATCTCTTCAAACTCCTGCAGGTCCTGGTCCAGCTGTGACAGGATCTTTCTAATGTGGTTGTTGTCTTTGGGAACGACGTCTCCCAGCTCCTGACGTTCCATGGTTAATGCAATATGGTCCATACTCACGTCTGTGTCTAAAAACTTGTGTCTGAGACGTGACGTTGCCCCTAGGCCATCGTTTCTCTGGGCCTTGTGATGTCATTGCTGCTTTGAAATAACTCGGTAACCTAGCAACCGGCTTTGACATCGGGATCCGGAACAGACGGGGGGGCTGTTCCCATGGCAACCTGTAGTTTTTTAATAATGTCAGATTTTATGCACAGGATTCAAATCTTTATTTTAACAAAAAACAGATTGAACTTTGTATAAATGTTCATAAATCAAGTTTCAAGTTTATTCATGTCTCAGTCCTTATTAGTTAAGGCCAAAAATAATGGTTTGTGTGTGTGTGTGTGTGGATCCGTTTGTGTGGATGTGTGTGTGTGTGCGTGTGGTTGTGTGTATGTGTGTGTCTCTGTGTGTGTCTGTCTGTGGATGTCTTTACACACATTAAAAACACATGAGAAAACGAGTGAAAGAACCAAACTGTCAAAGAGAGAACTATGGATTTTCTGACAATCAATCAATTTCTTCTGATTTAACATTAGTTCATCTCTTTTTCAGTCTGTTTTCTTACAGATAAAGTCATGATTGGGTTAGTCCTGGGTTAGTCCTGGGTTAAAAGCCAAAACAATATCATTCCTTTATGAATAAATGTGTCTGTAGTGAAACTAGATTGCAGCCATGTTTTTATCCACAGGAGGGCGCTCAAGCTGCATCTAATTATATACAGTGGTTACTCAACACAGTCACATCAATGAACACAGTCTAGTTTTGTGTCTGTGTCTCTGGTCTGGTCCTGGTCTAGTCCTGTTCTAGTCCTGGATTAGTCCTGGTCTAGTCCTGGGTTAGTTCTGGTCTAGTCCTGGGTTAGTTCTGGGTTAGTCCTGGGTTAAAAGCCAAAACAATATGATTCCTTTATGAATAAATGTGTCTGTAGTGAAACTAGATTGCAGTCATGTTTTTATCCACAGGAGTGCGCTCAAGCTGCATCTAATTATATACAGTGGTTACTCAACACAGTCACATCAATGAACACAGTCTAGTTTTGTGTCTGTGTCTTTGGTCTGGTCCGGGGTTAGTCCTGAGTTAGTCCTGGTTTAGTCCTGGGTTAGTCCTGAGTTAGTCCTGGTTCAGTCCTGGGTTAGACCTGGGTTAGTCATGGTTTATTTCTGATCTAGTCATGGTTTAGTCCTTAGAAAGTCCTGGTTTAGTCCTCGGCTTGTCCTGGGCAGGGGTCCTGGGTTAGTCCTCTGTTAGTCCTGGTTAAGTTTTGGGTTACAATACAATACAATACAATACAATTTATTCTTGTATAGCCCTAGGTCACAACAGAAGTCATCTCAGAGGACTTAACAAAACCATTGAAATCACCAACACAGGTCAGAGAATCAACAGTTAAAACACATGAAGAATACAGTATAAAGCACACACAGAAGAAAATGTCCATACATGTTGTAGAATGCTAAAGTGTCCTGATCATCACCAATCCTTTCTGTTGGACACTAACTGTCCAACAAGACCCTCCTGCATCGACAAGGAAAAACTCTTAAAAAACCCAGTGGGAAAAAGTGAGAAACCTTGGAGGAGAACTAGGGAAACCCACAGGGAGGGAGACCCATATGAGAAAGGGATCCGCTCCTCCGGACGGACAGACTAATGATCCAGGACCTAAGCTAGCTACAGAACGTGGACCAGTGGACGCTGAACGTGGACAGGTCCGGTGCAGGACTGAAGCACTCCCAGGCGGGTCGGGCGGGGCAGTCCGCAGGTGTAGATGGAAGAGGCCAGGCTCAGAGATCCCGTCATCGTACCATGAAACAGACAATGGGACAACGGGTGAATAGCAATGAACAAACTACAGTCAGAATCCTAAAAATGCTAAACAGATAAAGTAGGAAGGAGGAGAGGATAGTGCTCAAGTTACCATACTTCTCCCAGCAAACTGACTCCCTATGCAGCTTGACTGACACTCTGAGGAGTTTAACCTTCTCCGAGTCTTACCTTCCTAGCCATATGCTAAACTAAAGAGGACTGTTTTAAACCTAGCCTTGAATAAAGAATAACATACAGCATAATATATAACATAATATACAACATAACACAATACATTATTGAATAATATATAACATAATATATAACATAATACAGCATATATATATAATATATACACTACATATTATATATTACCTAATTATATGCTAAATTAAAGTAAAGTGCTTTAAGCCTGGCCTTGAATGTGGAGACCGTATCTGCTTCCTTAACATAAATGAAGCTGATTCCACAGTAAAGGAGCTTGGAGCTAAATGCTCTGCCACCAACAGTGACCTTTGAGACCTTAGGGACCACCAGACGTCTGGCGTTTTGTGAGCGCAACGCTCGACCTGGTTGATACGACACTAACGTGTCTTGGAGATAAGAGGGAGCCAAGCCATTTATGGCTTTATATGTTAAGAGTAGGATTTTAAACTTAGTTAGTTAGTCCTGATTTAGTCCTGGGTTGGTCCTTGGTTAGTCCTGGTCTAGTCCTGTCTAGTCATGTAGTAGTTCTGGGTTAGTCCTGGTTTAGTCCTAGGTTAATATTGGATTGGTCCTGGGTTAAGGCAAGGCAAGTTTATTTGTATAGCACAATTCATACACAAGGCAACTCAAAGTGCTGAACAAAACAAGAAAGCATTAAAATCATAAATAATCACAGAACATTAAAAAAGATACAATATAAAATCCCTCAGTTGTAGCACAGCTAAACAGAACTGTCATTGAGGAGGCCTGTCTCACATCTTCAGGAATATTGTTCCAGATTTTAGCAGCATGAATCTGAAAAGCAGCCTCCCCATGTTTAGTTCTGACTCTGGGCACCAGTCCAGTCCCTGTGCTCCTCAGAGTCCCAGCAGGAGTCCAGTCCCTGTGCTCCTCAGAGTCCAGGCTGGTTCATATGGGACTAACATGTCACTAATATATTTTGGTGCGAGGCTATGGAGAGACTTGTACACAAGCAGAGCTGTTTTAAAGTCTATTCTCTGAGCCACAGGAAGCCAGTGCAGAGACCTGAGAACTGGACTAATGTGGTCGTACTTCCTGGTTCTAGTCAGGACTAATGTGGTCGTACTTCCTGGTTCTAGTCAGGACTCGAGCTGCTGCATTTTGAATGTACTGCAGCTGTGTTTGGACAGACCTGTGAGCAGGCCATTGCAGTGGTCTAACCTACTGGAGACAAATGCATGGATAAGAATCTCCAGGTCTGCTTTAGACACTATGTTTTTGATCCTGGCAATGTTTTTTAGATGGTAAAAAGCTGCTGATGTTACTGATTTGATGTGACTATTAAAATTTAAGTCTGAGGCCAGTATTACCCCTAGATTTCTGACCTTGTTTGAAGGTTTTAGGGAGAGAGACCGGACGTGACAGATGATGCTCTCTCTTTGTTTCTGGGGACCAAAGACAATCATTTCAGTTTTGTCTGCGTTTAGCTGAAGGAAGTTGTTTTGCATCCACTCACTGATCTGTTGGATACAGTGAAGGAGTGAGTCCACTGGTCCATGTTCTCCTGCATAGATCATAGATCTGAGTGTCGTCTGCATAGTTGTGATAGGACACTTTGTTTCTGCGTATTAACTGACCTAACGGCAGCATGTAGAGATTGAACAGAAGAGGTCCCAGGATCGACCCCTGTGGTACTCCACAGGTCAGGGCCATATGATCTGAGACACAGTTTCCAATCTCCACAAAGTACTTCCTGTCTTCAAGGTAAGACCTAAACCAACTTAGGGCGGTGCCAGCGACTCCAACCCAGTCCTCTAGTCTCTGTAAGAGGATCTCATGGTCGACGGTGTCAAAGGCAGCACTCAGATCTAACAAGATTTGGATTGAGACTCGGTCTGCGTCAGTGTTCAGCCGGATATCGTTTGTTACCTTGACGAGAGCAGTCTCAGTGCTGTGGTGGGGTCTAAAGCCGGACTGAAACATATCAAATGAGTTGTTGATTATAAGAAATCTAGTAAGCTGTAGGTAGACAACTTTTTCAAGGACTTTCCCCATAAATGGCAGATTTGAGATGGGACGACAGTTGTTCAGTACCGTGGCATCCAGACTGCTCTTTTTTAGCAGGGGCCTGATGACTGCCGTTTTCAGGGCCTTGGGGAATATTCCAGAATTAAGGGACATGTTTACTATCTGTGTGAGTGAAGGTAAACAGACTGCTCAGAACAGACTTCAGAAATCTAGTGGGTAGTACATCCAGGCTGCATGTGGAGGAGCTCAGACTTGTGATTATCTCTTGGACAGTTTTATCATCTACAGGTGCAAAGTGAGTTAGCTCAGAGAGCCTTTTTGGTTGTTGGATGGTTATCGGAGACAATGGCATTTTTGATGCCTTGAAAGCTCTAATGGCATCTGAACAGGGGGGTTTGTTAATCTATTAACTGTTGAAAACAGAACACGCAGATTGTTGCTGCAGCCTTCAATCATTTCAGAAAAATACCTTTCTCTCGTACCACGTAGCATCCGGTTAAACTCGCACAACTTATCTTTGAAGATCTCGTAATCAACCTGGAGGTTGGACTTGCGCCACTTCTGCTCGGGGCTCCTCTTCTGTGTTCTGACAGAGTCTGCTTTAGCCCACGGCGCCTTCTGCTTATTTTTCAATATTTTAACCTTCACAGGGGCAACGGTATTAGAGGTGACAGAGTTAAACAGTTCATCTACAGTAGAATACGATGCATTCTCAAAGTTTATCGTTCCCATAAATAGTTCACTCGTATTTTCATTTATGTGTCTTCTTCGAACGGTTGCAGAGTCCACTGGTGGTTTGTTAGTGAAACACATGTCGAAAAATACACAGAAATGATCCAAAAGAGCAACGTCAACTATGTTTACATTTGCAATATTCACCCGCTTAGTAACTAACAGGTCTAGAGTGTGCCCTCTGCTGTGGGTGGGGCCACTCACGTGCTGATGGTTAAGGTTAGGGTTAAGGTGGTCTGAGTAAGATGGTTAAGGTTAGGGTTAAGGTGAGTCTGAGTAAGATGGTGGTTAGGGTTAAGGGTGGGTCTGAGTAAGATGGTTAAGGTTAAGGTTAAGGTGGGTCTGAGTAAGATGGTTAAGGTTAAGGTTAAGGTGGGTCTGAGTAAGATGGTTAAGGTTAGGGTTAAGGTGGGTCTGAGTAAGATGGTTAAGGTGGGTCTGAGTAAGATGGTTAAGGTTAAGGTTAAGGTGGGTCTGAGTAAGATGGTTAAGGTTAGGGTTAAGGTGGGTCTGAGTAAGATGGTTAAGGTGGGTCTGAGTAAGATGGTTAAGGTTAGGGTTAAGGTGGGTCTGAGTAAGATGGTTAGGGTTAAGGTGGTCTGAGTAAGATGGTTAAGGTTAGGGTGGGTCTGAGTAAGATGGTTAAGGTGGGTCTGAGTAAGATGGTTAAGGTTAGGGTTAAGGTGAGTCTGAGTAAGATGGTTAAGGTTAGGGTTAAGGTGAGTCTGAGTAAGATGGTTAAGGTTAGGGTTAAGGTGGGTCTGAGTAAGATGGTTAAGGTTAGGGTTAAGGGGGTCTGAGTAAGATGGTTAGGGTTAAGGTGAGTCTGAGTAAGATGGTTAAGCTTAGGGTTAAGGGGATCTGAGTAAGATGGTTAAGGTTAGGGTTAAGGCGGGTTGGGGTTATTTTATGGGAATGTCTGGTTAAGTTTAGGCATGAATAGGTAGTTGGTTATATTTACTTTCGCTTCCGTCCCGAATCCGTATATGATCTAGTGCTGACCGTATCTACAGCTCTCTGACCGCACTGGAAACACCTCCCTCTGGTGTTCAGCGTCCGTAACTGCACCCTTTTCCCCACTCCTTTTTGAGCCAATCTATAAATGTTGTACAGATCCTCCCTGTACCTCTTTGTTCTGTTTTGTTCTTCATTTGTTGCCCATGTGTGGGTGCAGTGATTTCTGTATCGTGCAGAATGTTATCATTTGTTTTGTTTGGCTCAAAATTAAGTATTCAATCAATCAATCAATAAATCAATCAACCCTGAAGAGGCAGAGAAGAGACAAAAAACAGTTTTGTTTAATGCTCGGATGGTGGTTCTCCATTGGTGCCAAGAATATCCTTTTAACCCTGGATCATGTCTGTGATTATGTGTTTGTTCCTTCATAAAAACTTGTTTCCACTCTACCCTACTCTACTCTAGTCTACCCTACTCTACTCTACTCTACCCTAGTCTACCCTGCTCTACTCTACTCTACCCTACCCTAGTCTACCCTACTCTACTCTACTCTACTCTACCCTACTCTAGTCTAGGCTAGGCTAGGCAGCGTTTGAGATTTATGGAGCTAAAATCTGGAACAATCTTCCTGAAGATGTGAGGCTAGCATCTACTCTGGCAATTTTCAAATCAGGGCTAAAAACTGTTCTTTTTAGCTGTGCATACGGCTGAAGGATTTTATTGATACATACTCTTTTTTTTTTAATGCATTGTGGTTATTTATTATTTTAATCCCGTGTGTGCTTTTAATATTTTAAGGTATTTTTTTTTTTTTTTTTTTTTTTTTTTCATTACTTGTGATTTTATTCTGTTTTTAATGTATTTATTGATGTCTCTGATTTGTCTGATATTATGTGGGTTGTGAGGCGCTTTGAGTGGCCTTGTGTTGGAAAGGCGCCATACAAATAAAGTTGATTGATTGATAGTCTACCCTACTCTACTCTACCCTAGTCTACCCTACTCTACTCTAGTATACCCTACTCTAGTCTACCCTACTCTAGTCTACTCTACTCTACCCTAGTCTACTCTACTCTACTCTACTCTATTCTAGTCTACCCTACTCTACTCTACCCTAGTCTAGTCTACTCTACCCTACTCTACCCTAATCTGCTCTACCCTTCCCTACTCTGCTCTACTCTACCCTACTCTGCTCTACCCTACTCTATTCTACTCTACCCTACTCTACTCTACTCTACTCTACCCTACTCTACTCTACCCTACTCTACTCTACCCTACTCTACCCTACCCTACTCTACCCTACTCTACTCTACCCTACTCTACTCTACTCTACCCTGCTCTACGCTACCCTGTTCTACTCTACCCTACTCTACTGTACTCTACCCTGCTCTACTCTACTCTACCCTACCCTACTCTGCTCTACCCTACTCTGCTCTACACTACCCTACTCTACTCTATTCTACCCTACTCTACTGTACTCTACCCTACTCTGCTCTACTCTACCCTACTCTGCTCTACCCTTCTCTGCTCTACGCTACCCTACTCTACTCTACTCTGCTCTGCTCTACTCTGCTCTCCCCTACTCTACTCTACTCTACCCTACTCTACTCTACTCTACCCTACTCTACCCTACTCTACTCTACTCTACCCTACTCTGCTCTACTCTGCTCTGCTCTACCCTACTCTGCTCTGCTCTACTCTACCATACTCTGCTCTGCTCTACTCTACTCTGCTCTACTCTACTCTGCTCTACTCTACTCTACCATACTCTACTCTACTCTACCCTACTCTGCTCTACTCTACCCTACTCTGCTCTACTCTACTCTACCCTACTCTGCTCTACTCTACTCTACCCTACTCTGCTCTACTCTACTCTACTCTACTCTACCCTACCCTACTCTACTCTACCCTACTCTACTGTACTCTACCTTACTCACTTAGATTCAATTCAGTGTATTTTTTATTACTTTTTACAACTTATTTTATTTTTTTTTCAGTTTTATTTTTTTTTGTATTTTTTTAAATCCCAACAGTGGCTATTTTGGATTCTCGATTCACCAACACAGATCAGAGAATCAAACCGTTCAAACACATGAAATGCAATGATATAAAACAGCCATTGGTCAATAAAGAGCAGAGACCAATGTCCATAAATGTGGTTGAATGTGGAGTGTCCTGGATCGTCACTGTGCTTAGACCCTCTGCATCTATAACTAAAAGCCGTCAAATTGACTGCTCACGGAGTGCTAGTGTGATATCTTAGTTCACATCCTAAAACCTGAATTATGAATCCTCGTGATTAAAGACACTATGAAGTCCAACGTTGCATCCCATTTGTATTCAACACTCATCGTACCGTGTGACATCACAACAGCACTGAGCTGGCACCTTTGATCACAGATAAAACGCTGGTTTCCTGTTTGAAGAAGCAGTTTCATGAGACTTTGGCTCACTCTGCTGAGAGAGCGGCCATGGGACTCTGTGTGCTTCTTCTACTCTTCATCGGTGAGTCCTCTTCTTTGTGTTTGGTTCATATTTTACATAAGAATGGAAACAAAAAAAACTTTACTCATGGTTGATCCGTTTCTTTTGGATGAGGGGTTGTGTTAATAACGGTGAAACAAGCAGATAAAGTAAACCCTGAACTCTGAGTGTCCATGCTTTAAAGACGTCCTTAAACGAAGTCTCCAGTCTGGTTCTGGTGCTCCTCGCATGGTTGATCTTTGCCTCTGCTCCTCTGTCCATCTTACATCTTATAGACCGACCATGAGTGTGTTGGGTTTACCGTTACTCAGGCCCTCAGGCCCGGCTCTGGTCCTGGACTCAGGCCCAGCTCTGGTACCGCACGCAGGCCCCGCTCTGGTCCTGGAGTGTAGCTGTGGGAGGTTATGTCAAATACAGAATCAGA